CCCCAAAACCCCAAAACCCCAAAACCCCAAAACCCCTATATGAATTTGTAATTTGAAAAATCAAATTTATATTCGGAGCACAAAAATGAGCATTAAGGATTATGAAAAGATGTTTGTTGATGACTTCATGGCTAGGATTACCAACTCCTGCAACCATGAAAAAAGACAAGAGGCTTATAGGAAAGTGTGCCAACTCCTCTCCTCAATTCTAGACGATTCAGCAACAATTACAACATTTGGCTCGGGACCGTTGAAAACTTACCTTCCAGAGTCAGACATTGATATTACCATTCTTTTTACTGACTGCTTTTTGAAGGGTGAAACTCTAGACACTCCTTCCAGTATTGGTGCAAAGGAACTAGATTGTCTCAAGGAAAGCATGGAGAGTTATGCTGAAGAATACAACATCGAAGACATTCAGATCATCAATGCCTCTGTCAAGATTATAAAGATGCAATGTGACAAAATCCCAATCGATATTTCTTTTTAATCAAATTGGAGGAATTATCACCTACAAGTATCTTGAAGAAGTAGATCAACTGGTGGGAAAGAGCCACCTCTTTAAACAAGCCATCCTCATGGTCAAAGCATGGTGTATGTACGAAGGGAGAATTTTAGGTTCCCATTTCGGATGTCTCTCTTCATACTCACTGGAAGTGTTAATAGTCCACCTGCTGATTAAATATGATGAAGAAGTCCAGTCACCTCTGGACATTTTCATTAAAATTTTCGAAGAGGATTGGAGCCAATATGCTGTTTCTATCTTTAAATAAGGTTAATATTTATGAAGCAAGAAGAGATATTTCTCTTTTAAACTTCAACAAAGATGAGGAGGAAGTATCTACTGGACCTAAAACTCTTGAGAAATATATTAAGCTCTCTCAGAAGCACCAGGAATTATACAAGGATTTATCTAAGAAATATGGGATTCCATACTCTTTAGAAGGAACCTTATCTTGCGATTATTTCTATAATATAGTCGACCCAGTTTGTCCTTCAAATAATCTGGGAAAAAGTGTCAATAACTTCCATAAAAGTAGGATCCAAAGAATTCTCAAGAAGCAGAATGACAAACTCGAGTGGTACGTGTTTATGAGACAGAAAATCCTATCACAAGACTCCACAGAGAAAGATTTTGAGATGTATAAGCAAGGGCTTAGCATTCTTTTTCAGAAAATGTTTAGGGTTTTAGAGAATAATACAGTTCAAACTCCATCTCAATGAATGCAAGTCAGATTAGAGAGTCCTCAGATGGATTACTCACAATTCTATCAGTATCCAGAGCAGTATACCAGTTATGGAGGAATAGACTATCAAGCTTTAGGACAAACTAGTTCCTCATATTTTCAAACTCAAACTTTGGGAGAAAATAATTTATCCCAATTTGAACAGAATTTTCACCCAGAATTCTTGAAAGGAGAGGAGCTAAAAATCGATAACCATAATGGCTTTATATCTGAATCAATGAAGGAAGAGAAGGAGAAATCTGATCATGAATTCCCTTCTATTCATCAGGAGAACATCAATCCACCTAGCTCTTTAGAGGAGTCCAAGACTACTGGCTCAATTTCAAAGACTTCTAAAAGCAAGAGTCTCTCAGTAGAGCCTTCGAGGAACTCCAAAATAATTCAGAAGGGGAAGAAGCTTGATTTCTGAGGTAGCATTAGAGAGCCTTTGTCTGTAAGGAATGTGAATGGGGTTTGTTCACATAACAAACTCTCCTGCCAGCAAACACACTTGCCATCTTCTCTTAATTAACTCTATTCTTGATCAGTAGGAGGCTTACTGACTTTAACTCTTATTTAATCAATAAAATTCTAATTGTTTGGGGTTTTGGGGTTTTGGGGTTTTGGGGTTTTGGGG